TTTCTCATAATTGGAGTCACCTGTGTATGGAGGTCAAGGGTCACTGAACTTACCAAACCAAATTTGAGTTCCAATAATTAGTTCCAAAGGTTTTGGAATCAATAAAATGAAAACGATGCCCAAATTTATGCACCTGCCTAATTTTGTTTAAACAATTATTGTACACTTTCTGTAAATCATATAAAGTTAATTTCACTTCTCAAATATCATTGTGTTTGTCCCCTACATGATATATTTTATATTTAACAGTTTTTCTATCCAAACAATCAATGATTTATAAAGGTAAATCAGGAAAATTAACAAGGGTGCCCAAACTTTCGCACCCCACTGTATCTATGTCACCTTTAGTTGTTATTAAAATGCTGTTTTTATGTTTAAATAAATAGACAATTATCTCTTCTTCTCATCATTTCCATTTCTAAACGCCTTGAAATTTGCCTCTGTCTCTTTAAGAACCTCCTTCTGCTTCTGTCCCACCCATTTCAACAGGTGGGGGGAGGGGGGTTATTGCGCTGTGATGTGGAAGCTCGATTTAGTTTACTTGGCATCTGAAAATACATGTCCTCAAAGGTATTTTAAATCTGAAAAGGGCTGCACTGAGAAGTACTCAGCAGACAGTTTCAGTTTCACCAGTTGTTTTGTTGCTACTGAGAGCCTGCAGGAGTCACRGGCAGGKTGGGGAGGTGTGCTGTGTTATGAGGAAACTTGGCTTGGAGACACAGCCCAGAGGAGGAGCTAGTCTAAAAAGGCGGTCCTAGTCCCATCCAATCATTTTTGCTCCCTCGCCTRCTGCCTCAGGACAGCACAAGATTTGTCAAACATGCATGAATGAGTCAAAGCAAGACTCCGGGCATGTTTTTGATCAGAGGATAACAATATAATTTATAATATCCATCCATCCATCCATTTTCTTCCGCCTATCCGGGGTCGGGTCGCGGGGGCAGCAGCTTCAGAAGGGAGGCCCAGACCTCCCTTCTGACCCTCCCTTAATTTATAATATAAAACTCAAAAAGGTTGATGTTACATGATATAGCCCCTTTAACCATATGACATTCATAAATAAAGTTTTGTTTTGATTCTAAGGTTCAAATATAGCAAATACAGCCAGTGAATCTGATGTTTATGATGAAAAAAGCTCTGCATGAACCTGTAGATGATTTAGTTTTTTTATGCTTTTGTTTCACTTTTATTATGTCAGATAGGAATGACATAAAAAAAACTAAGATTGCTCTGATAGGTCATCTCTTGATTACCTCCTCCCACAGGCAAACATTTTACATTCTGCTTAAGAGGAAGAGTTCTCCAAGGTTACTTGTCATTATTTCTACCCTGATCCCAGCATGGCATAATGAAAAGAAATGTGCCCACTTACAGGGGTTGGACAATGAAACTGAAACAYCTGGTTTTAGACCACAATAACTTAGTATGGTGTAGGGCCTCCTTTTGCGGCCAATACAGCATCAATTTGTCTTGGGAATGACATATACTGTACAAGTCCTGCACAGTGGTCAGAGGGATTTGAAGCCGTTCTTCTTGCAGGATARTGTCCAGGTCACTACGTGATGCTGGAGGAAACCGTTTCCTGACTCGCTCCTCCAAAACACCCCAAAGTGTCTCAATAATATTTAGATCTGGTGACTGTGCAGGCCATGGGAGACGTTCAACTTCACTTTCATGTTCATCAAACCAATCTTGCACCAGTCTTGCTGTGTGTATTGGTGCAATGTCATCCTGATACACAGCACCACCTTCAGGATACAATGTTTGAACCATTGGATGCACATGGYCCTCCGGAATGGTTTGGTAGTCCTTGGCAGTGACACACCCATCTTTTGGGCCAAGGGAATGCCATGATATGGCAGCCCAAACCATCATTGATCCACCCCCATGCTTCACTCTGGGTATGCAACAGTCTGGGTGGTACGCTTCTTTGGGCCTTCTCCACACCGTAACTCTCCCGGATGTGGGGAAAACAGTAAAGGTGGACTCATCAAAGAACAATACATGTTTCACATTGTCCACARCCCAAGGTTTGTGCTCCTTGCACCATTGAAACCAAAGCTTGGCATTGGCACAAGTGGCCAAAGTTTTGGCTATAGCAACCCGGCCATGTATATTGACCCTGTGGAGCTCCTGATGGACAGTTCTGGTGGAAACAGGAGAGCTGAGATGCACATATAATTCTGCTGTGATTTGGGCAGGCTTAGATTTATGTTTTTTGGATACAATCTGGGTTAGCACTCAAACATCCCTTTCAGACAGCTTCCTCTTGTGTCCACAGTTAATCCTGTTGGATGTGGTCAGTCCTTCTTGGTGGTATGCTGACATTACCCTGGATACTRTGGCTCTTGATACATCACAAAGACTTGSTGTCTTGGTCACAGATGCACCAGCAAGATGTGCACCAAYAGTTTGTCCTCTTTTGAACTCTGGTATGTCACCCATAATGTWGTGTGCATGGCAATATTTTGAKCCAAACTGTGYTCTTACCCTGCTAATTGAACCTTCACACTCTGCTYTTACTGGCGCAATGTGCAATTAATGAAGATGGGCCACCAGGCTGRTCCAATTTAGCCAWGAAACCGCCCAAACTAAAAAGACAGGTGTTTCAGTTTCATTGTCCAACCCCGTACACCTGTTTAAGATTTTCAAAATTACCTGCTACAACTTTGTATTCACTCTGACTTTGATAAAGGCAGTGCAAAACTCAATGAACTCCATCCCTTTTCTAAGTYTARATTATGTGCWGAGATAATTTACAAAACCTTCCCCMCAAGAGCAGTCTTTTAATMTCCCTTTGTTTAGGTTTCATTTGAATATATTTCTTGAAACCCCACAAAATGTCACTGCAGTGCTCAAACCAGCCATAGTTAAGAGGTTTATTAAAGCAGACACACAACACAAGTCTCAAAAAGCTGTGCTGGATTTTAATCAAATATGGATGTTTTATTTGACCTACTTGACAAGTCATATAATCCATAGCCAAGAAGTCTCTCAATATTTATGGAATACAGTCTACATCCGGATATGAACAGTGGTATATCTGTTGTCAGCTACACATTCATTTGCTTTTCATCAGAACAGTTTGGCAACAATACACACAGTAATTGTCCAGTCATATACTGGATTAAGTGGGTTTCTATTCTGAACTCACAAAACAGTGATGATTTATAGTTAAGAATCTATTGAAAACAGACAGTCTAATACAAAGTCCATTGGGTACAGAGTTGTCCATTATACTGCTTCTAGGATAGCTTATTTACAGGTATCTACTGGAAGCAAAACTAAAAAATAGAAAAAAAAACAACCAAAATTGCATTTTTCCTAAATGAAAAAAAACAACTAACCATCACTATTCAAACTCCAAGAAAAAAACTAACAGTGTTTTTGTACTGATTGTGCTTTGTAACCCAGATGGTACTGTTGAACTGGAAATTTTTATAATATCCATTACAGTTTGTATTTCTGAAATTCTAGAGCTATACGTATGGCAGGGCATACAAATGATTCCTTTTTTATTACTATATTTATATATTTATAAAGTCATTACAGGCTCACTTTAGTTCATCACCTGTGATGTGTAGTGGTATTCAACAGAAGTCACAGAGGAATCAATTCTAGTGTTTGACCATGCAGAGCCCTTTAAGGTATGCCAGAAAAGGTCACAGAATACATTTGTGGGAAAAAAGGAACCAATGAAGGCTTCAGGAGGCAAATTCAGAGTTTCCCTTTGAGAACAGACACAAAACCAAGTTAGTGCCTGAACACAAGGTTTATCAAGACACTGGGTAGTTTCTGAGGCAAATTAGTTGAATAATACTAACCCTTTCTATTCCACAACCCTCTCTGGCTTCTGGTTTTGCTGGGCCCATGTTTTTGGTGTACAGTGGAGTTTATTTTCCGGTCTCTCAGGTAGATAAAGGATGACCTTGGTCCTGGAATCTTTGACTTTCAGAAACTTCAGTCAAAGAAAATTAAATGACTACCATCCTGCTGTACCAGGTGGTCAGTGTACCCATGTTCCACTGTCAACCCCCCACCCTCCTTGCCTGGCACACAGTCCCCCACTAGCAGTTTAGCCTGCTGTTACACAGTCACTTCAGTCTTGCTGCCTGTGCGRTAGTGCTGTGGCTGCTGCTGCTGTTGCTGTGGGATATAATGGAGCTGTTCCACAGTGTGAGTCCGTCTGGAAGCAAATGCCTGTCTTTTTGTTGTTGTCTGGTTCGTGGCTAAAGTGCTTGAATGCACTGATACTCCTGCCCCTGGTGCCCCGCTGCTGACACCTCCACCACTGCTGCTATTGTTTGAGGCACTAGGATGGGAATGCATCTTGGTCATCTTGTAGCGATCCATGAGAGGAGTTGTTGGTGTGAACACATCTGTGTGAGAGATGGCACGTGACATTGACATGTCACTCCCACGGAAGCCACCAGAAACATTGCTGACCATGCCACGTTTCAGTGACATCATCAACCTTTCTGGTGAGAGCAAGGGATCCTGGGATAGAAAGCGGTCCTGCGAGTACAGGCGATCTTGTGAGTAAAGTCGTTCTTGAGAGTAATGGCGATCCTTTGAGTACAGGTGCTCGTGTGACAGGAGCCGGTCCTTGGAGTAAATGCGGTCCTTGGAGTACAGGCGATCTTGGGAGGTGTGGCGGTCCTGTGGCAAAAGACGTTCTTGGGACCGAAGGCGTTCAGCAGACAGGAGTTGTTCATCTGAGAGGATCCTGCCTCCATATGGAGACATACCCCCAGAAGACATGTTGTAGTCCTGGTGCAGTCCACTTTGTGGGACTAGAACACGATCCTGGGACATTGCCCTTTGAACACGTCGAGGCCGCTGCCTTTGCTGAGACTGCTGCTGCGAAGACTGTGTCTGAGGAGGGGCCTGGGAGATAGAGGATGGTGGAGGCTGGTTCTGGAGTTGCTGCTGCTGCTGTGGTTCCCGATGCTGCTGAGCAAAAGACAAAGGAGGTCAGTTTATTTGAGAGCCAAGGTGTAAAGATTTTGCCAGCCAAAGCTCTAGAATCAAGTAATAATCAGCCCTACCAAAGATTCAGCAGTAGAATCCACCCGCTTTGGATGTTAGTATCCATTAAATGGACGCTCTTAGTCATTAACAGGCCCATAGAATGGCTTCACAATGTCCTGACTGTGGCTCCTAGTGGGTCCTCCATCCCATAAAATGGACTGATAGCATCAGAACCGGCTGGTTAATATGAGGCATAAAACCACAAGGTTAAAATGAGGCATAAAGCCAGTAAGGTTAATTTTAGAGAAAATGGTCATGGCCTTCGATATAAAGTACACCRTTGTTGTACGGCAATGGGTAGAGCGCCGGACCAGAGAGTGGAAGAACAAGGATCGAGACCAGGCAGCAAGAAAACCATGCCCCCCACCTCCACCCCAGACAAAAAAATAAATTAAAATATGTTTTGGTTATTTACACATTCAATGTCATTGATATATTAACCCACCAGGGGGCACAGTTGGGACAGACTGAAGCCATTCTATGGGACTGATAACCGCTAATAACGTCCATTTCATGGACTGATAACATCAGAACCCACTGTAGAATCTCACTGGGCTGTGATTGTTGGGTTAGTTAAAGGCTAGTTGGCAAACAGGATTCACGAGTGAGTCTCAAAAGTTTCTCAAAACATTTTCAGAGGTTCTCAATGTAGGGGTCACCTCGAGTGAAGAAACAGGAATTACTGCCTGAAAGCAGGTCTCGCACAGGCCTGAGAACTGGCAGGAACGCTGAACGTGTTGTCAAATGCAGAAACAGGTTGGAATAATACGAGAAAAGTCTGAGTATGTGATAATCAAATACAATTTTAATTGTGAGCAACAACCACACAGAACTGGAATCAGGAAGGTTCTGCCTGCTTGCTGCTGGGGTGTCAGCAGAAT